CCATCTCCTCAGCAGCATTTCCTTCCTGCCAGGTTCTGCCAAGTGTCTCAGATCTGTATCTGGGTGATGTGCCCCCCGTGCCCACCTTGGCTGACATCGTGTGGATTGCAGCGGATGATGAGGAGACCTACGCCAGGGTCAGGTTGGTTTTCATCTGCTGCTTTTGGCACAGAGCTCAGGCCAGACTCTGCTCAGATGACCACAGCTCCCAGTCCCCTCAGGGTCTGATGTGGTGCCTCTTGAAAGACATTTTTCCCCAGAGAGAGGAAAAAAATGACCAAAAAAAAAAAAAACCAACAAACCAACAAACAAGTCCCTGGAGAGGAATTCCTGTAGGAAATGCAAGCAGCCTGTGCCATGCCCTGCTTCACTCCCTGGTCTGTGCACAGTAACCCCCTGCTCCACGGTGTTTTTTGGTCAGGAAGTGGAAGGGTTGAGTTCTCCCAGGACTGAAATGCCCTGTCCAGCCTGGCCTTGGACACTTCCAGGGATCCAGGGGCAGCCACAGTTTCCTGTGCTGCAGGGAGCACCTCTGCACCTCTGGTGGTACACAGAGGCTTCATTTGTTTTGTTGGAGGCTCTGCTGCCCTCAGAGGGGGTCAGGCTTTGTCATGGAGAGGTTTGGATGTGGTGACTGACAGGTTTTTGTCCCCAGAAGTGACACTCGCCCGCTGAAACACAAGTGGAAGCCGAGTCCCTTCACGGTGATCCAGAGAAACGCCTCAGTGCCCAACCTGAGGAAGCAGGAGGAGAAGCTGCTGGCCCTGAAGAAGCCTGGTTTGCCAGCCCTGAGCCGGACCACAGAGCTGCAGGATGAGCTGAGCCACCTGCGGAGCCAGATCGCCAAGATCGTGGCTGCAGAGTCAGGTAGGGTCAGCATTCCCCGGGGGGCTGGCTCTGCCTTCCTCCAGGATGTTTTCCAGCAGCTCCCTTGCTGGGATGTTGGCTCTGGGGGCAGCTCAGTTTAGATTTACGTCCTGTTGTGCTGGGGAAAAGCTGTCCCACGTGGATTGCTGCGAGTTCATCCATCCTCCTCTCGTTTTCTCTTCCAGCCTCTGCCCAGCTGACACCAGATCTGTTATCCCCAGGGAGCTCCAACGCCTCTTCTCCCGTCCATTGCTTTGGGCCCTCCTTCCAGTCCACCACGTCCTTTGTGATCAGCGACATCACGGAGGAGGAGGCGGAGCTGGAGAGCCCCGAGCTGCCCTCGGTGGCCGAGCTGCCGGCGGTGGCCGCGCTCTGCTCTGCCCCCGAGGGCCGGCCCGAGCCCCGGGACCCCGACGAGGAGGACTCCGTGTCCCTTTCCAAGGCCAGCAGCTTTGCTGACATGATGGGGATTCTCAAAGACATTCACAGGATGAAGCAGAGCAAAGACTTGTAAGTGCTTCCTGAAATTCTCTTTTGGTTTTGTGTCAAATCCGTGCAGAGCCTGGGCACGGCGCTGGCTGCTCCGTGTCCTTCGTCCCTGGGGGAAATGCCTGTTGAGAGCAGAACTTGGAACTCATTCCTGGGGCTTTTGCCTTTCTGGGATAGGAAATAATGGAGAATTTTCATGGGGGAAATACCTCCCTGGAGCAGAACTTGGTAACACATTCTTGGTTTGCTTTTGTTTTTCTCTTTTTCCTGGATAGGAAATAGTGGAGGGGAATTTAAACTGTTTAAAGCTGGCTGTTCCAGCTTGTTCACCTGACAAAAAGCTGTGTTTGCCCAGGTGCAAGCCAGCCCTGCGTGTGTTGGCAGCTTTCAGAGTGAGGAGGGTGCTGCTCTTAGCCCACCTCACATTCCCAGGCAGTTGGGAAGCTCAGGAGCTTCTCCAGCATGGAATACACAGGGATTTAACACATGGAGCTTCTCCAGCATGGAATACACAGGGATTTAACACATGGAGCTTCTCCAGCATGGAATACACAGGGATTTAACACAGGGAGCTTCTCCAGCATGGAATACACAGGGATTTAACACATGGAGCTTCTCCAGCATGGAATACACAGGGATTTAACACGTGGAGCTTCTCCAGCATGGAATACACAGGGGTTTAACACGTGGAGCTTCTCAGCTTGTGTGGTTCTTCATCTGGCCCAGCTCTGGGCGTGGGCAGGGTGGGTTTGCGCTTGCCTCATGAAGAATTAACAAGTTCTGATCATGAGAACTCCCGAAACTTCTCCATGGACAAGACCCAGCCCAGCTGAGGAAGTTCCTTCTCCAGTGCTGGCCGTGCCACCTGCCTTTCACAGGCTCAGATCTGAGCTGCAGCTCAGCCTCCACACTTCCCATTCTGCTGTGTGAGATTCCTGGCCAAAAATACCACACTGCCTGGGGGCCGTGCACAGTTGCTGTTTCCCAATTTGGTTTGAAAGGAATGAGATTCTCAGCAATGAAAAAATTCAATTCCAATGGGAGGAACACGCTCAGCTTCCACAGCCAGAGCATCCGGGGGTGTCACAGCTCCAGCCCTCACAAAATTCCCCCTTTGCTCTGCTTTTCCTGGGGGGAGCTGCCAGGCCCCTGCTCCTGCAGGTAATGCTGCCACACACAGGCTGCAGCCCTCATCAGCTCCTCAGCCTCTCCTGCACGCAGCAACGATAGTTTGGGGTTATTACAGCCTAATTAAAGCTGTCTGAAGAGTTGCAGGTAGCTGAAAAATTAAGTTAATTACTGATGTTCATTGTTTGATGAGCTCTATTTCCTAATTCTGGTGCAGTTGTGGAGCAGCCCCTGTGCTCCCCCAGCTGTACTGGGCAGCACTGGGAAGCCTGAAGAGGGTCAGGTGCTCTTTAAGTGGAGGAGAAAAGGTGCTTAAAGATGCAAAAGATGCTTGAAAAGATAATTACATTGATGTTTCTCTGCTGCTGTGTAGGAGTCAGTGCTTAAACTCAGCCTTTGTGTTTAAACTCAGCCTTGGAAGCTTCAGGAACGATTGAGGAACCTGCAGAAATGTTCCAGTGGCTGCTGGAAATATTCCAGGGTTTGGTTTTTTTGTCTCTTAGGAATGTTTCAAACTTCCATAATGTTTTCTGAGTGAGGGAGGGCTTCAGGTATGAAAAAAAAAATAAAGCTCTGAGGTTGTTATTGCAGGTTGTAAACAAAACCACGGTACCTGAGGGAAAAGAGCTGAGGTTTGGCCTCCTGGAGAATAATCTTCCAAAAGGAGCTGCTTGTGTGAGCTTGTTGAAGGAGACAGATTGCCCTGGGAACAGGAGAACTCATGTAGGGGAAGGAAATCTGCGCCAGCCCTGCTTTAAAATGCCTGGGATCTCCCATACTGAAATAGGGAAGCAGAAATCCATAGTGCAGCAAAATTAGTGAAAAAACCAGAAACTTCCAGAGCTTCCCCCCAACCACCTCACTGAGGGTTGATTTATATGGAGGGGATGGAGGCTGTACATAATTAATGAAGTTTTGGGTTGACTGCTTGTTATCAGCACAGTGGAACAAGAATCACCCAGAGCTTTGAGGATGAGATTTCCAGGATCGCCCTGGAGCCACAAAACGAGTCCCTGGAGCTGAATTTCCCTTTTTTGTTGTTTTTGTGGCGTTCTTCTTGCACCTCCTCCACCTGTGAGAGCATGTCACGATGCAAGCTGCAGGAGAAGGTTGGCAGGGAGGAGTCCAGCTCCTGTCTGGGCTGCTGGCAGTGCTCTGTGTGCTCTGTGTGCTCCTGTCTGGGCTGCTGGCAGTGCCCTGTGTGCCCTCTGTGTCCTCTGTGCCCTGCAGGAGCCGCCCGGCCATGAAGGAGGAGGATCCCGCCGTGCTCATCGCAGAGGTGCTCAGGAGGAAGTTTGCCCTGAAGGATGAAGACCTGGCCCTGAAGGAGAAGTGATGCTGCTGCACTCAGCTCTGTAAGCAGAGTTTATGCTCCCAAAACCTCCTCCACAGTAGCTGCCTTCTCCCGAGGATTGAGCCTTTGCCTCTTTTATTAAGCAGACACGGTTTGTGCACCGGACACTTGGTTAGGAAGGACCCTTTGGGTTTTGATGTGTTTTCCATGTGCTGTTCTATTTAAGAAAAACCTTTCTAAGAAGATGGAAGTTCTTTGCCACCTGTGTGTGTTGGTGTTGGTGGCTGGTGAGGATCTCCTGGATGAAGTCCTTTGTACCTGCACTTTTCCTTAGGCTCCAGTTAAGCATTGAGCTGTAAGGATAGAACCAGTTCCCACGCCCACTATGAGCAGGACAGACCCCCAGTCCTTTATCCTGAGGATGCCACAGAGCTGCTGAGAACAAGCTCATGAGTGCTTCCAGCTCTCCAGGGCTGTTGGATCATGGTGGGAAAAGGTTTTTTTTTCCCCAAACCCCCCTGGCTCGGGTCTGAGGGATCTCATTTGCCCTGGGTGTTCCTTCTCTCACAGATCAGCCCACAGTTGCATGACAGAATGGCCTTAATTTCTTGCCAGTAATTTAATGTCCCATTAAACTGCATCCCCAACCTGTGTTTTATTTGGCCTCCCAGAGGTCTGTTCATTGACCTGGCACCAGTGCAAAGGGCAGGAGGAGCTTGGCCTTGGCTGTGGCTGCAGTTCCCCCTCACTCAGAGAGCTCCACGTTCCCTGCAATGCCCCCCATGGCTGTATTTAAAGTACGATTTTTTTTTTTTTTTCCTTTCTATAAAATGGAGCCTTAATAAGACACTGATGGTCTGTGGGGTTATTGATGCACCCGGGCTTGGGGTGAGGCCGGTCTGTGGGGCAGCCTGGGGGGTGGAATCCCAGATAAATCCAGGTGCCAGGGGCTTTCTTATCCACCTGGATGTCCTGGAAAAATTAAACCATCGCCCCCACCTTAAAAAAACAGATTTGTGTGGCACAGAGAAGGAAGATGTAATAATTTCCAGTTTTAGGGAGAGCTCCTCCCCGCCTGGCTGTGCCCCAGGGCCCCTGGGTGCTGTGATCACTGTCCCTGTCCCCACCAGGGTTTGGTTTGGTGGAGCAGTGCCTGCTCTGGGAATTGCTCCCTGTGCACCTGGGCAGGACAGGGACACAGGCTGAGACCTGGAACAAACCCTTAGGAACCAACTCCCAACGTTTTATTTGGATGAAAGCAGAGAACAATCAGTTTGGATCAATCTCAGAGAACAGAGAAGCGCTGGGGGCTGCACTGGGGGGGTTCAGTGCCCAGCTGTGACCACTGTGGCCACCCCACAGCGTGCCAGGGCCCGGTGGGCTCACTCCCAGTGCTTTATGACCCTGTTCCCCTCCGAGTCCTGCGTGAACAGGGGCTGGCTGGCCCTCGGGGGGCTGGCCCTGGCCCTGTGGGCAATCACCCTGTTCCCTTGGGAGTCCTGGGAGAAGAGCTGCCTGCAGGACCCCGCTGGGAGCTGGCCACGCTCCCGCAGGGGCTGGGCTCGCACCGGGCTCTGGGGAGAGCAGCAAACCCCTCTGGGAGCAGCCCCTGGGCCAGGCTTTGTGTCCTGAGCCCCTGGGCCAGGCTCTGTGTGCTGAATCCCTGAGCCAGGCTCTGTGTGCTCAGCCCCTGGGCCAGGCTTTGTGTGCTCAGCCCCTGGGCCAGGCTCTGTGTGCTCAGCCCCTGGGCCAGGCTTTGTGTGCTCAGCCCCTGGGCCAGGCTTTGTGTGCTCAGCCTCTGAGCCAGGCTTTGTGTGCTCATCCCCTGGGCCAGGCTCTGTGTGCTCAGCCCCAGCAGAGCCCGTCCCAGAGGCAGCTCTGCTCCAGGGCTGTGCTTCCCTGCCCGCTGAGGCCGCTTCTCCAGGAAATATCCAGGATTTCTCCGGGCTCTGGGAGCAGCTGCAGCACCAGGAGTCCCCCCCAGCCCCACGGGAGGTTTTGTTCTGCCTCTCAGACTGCACTTGGAGCTCCAGGGCACCCAGAGGTGTTTTCCAAGCCCGGGCTGTGCCCTGCACCCCCTGCTCAGCTCCGGGGGGCTCTTCCCAGGCTCTCTCCAGCTGTGGCAAGGGCAGGATCTTCACAGGCCAGGCGGGCAGAGGGAGCCCCGAGCCCTCCCAGCCTTCAGCTGGCCTGGCGTTTTCTTTGTCTCCTTCACCTGAAAACAGCAGGAATTGGTGAAAGCAGGGTTAATTTCCCAGGGTTAACCACCCCCACAGCATCACCGCTGTCCCCTGGGTGTCCCTGGGGACTGTCCCCAGCAGTGCCACCCCAAATCCTGGTCCTAACTCCAGCTCTAACCCCACAGGGATCCCCAGAGGCTGCCCTGGAACAGCAGCCAGAGCTTGGGGCTGCTTCACATCATCCCAGAACAGCCCAAAGTGACCAAAATCCCCCAGAACTCCCCAGTTCTGCCCTGGCCTGACAGAGGCATCGAGTCCCACATTTGCCTCTGAAACCATTTCATCAAAAATCCAAGTTTTACCTCTGAAACTATTTCATATAAAATCCAGGTTTTACCTCTGAAACTATTTCATACACAATCCAAGTTTTACCTCTGAAATCATTTCACACAAAATCCAAGTTTTGCCTCTGAAACTATTTCGTACAAAATCCAAGTTTTGCCTCTGAAACTATTTCATTTAAAATCCAGGTTTTACTTCTGAAACTATTTCATACACAATCCAGGTTTTACCTCTGAAACTATTTCATACAAAATCCAAGTTTTGCCTCTGAAACTATTTCATATAAAATCCAGTTTTGCCTCTTAAACCATTTCACACAAAATCCAAATTTTGCCTCTGAAACCATTTCACACAAAATCCAAGCTCCCAGCACCATCCACCTCCTCCTTCCTGGGAGTTCCAACCTTCACCCTCTGCCCCCAGAATGAACTTTTCTGCCCAGGAGAGCAGCGGGGGGCTGGCAGGGCTGCAGCGGTGCCCGGGTACCTGCGTGGGGGCTGAAGAAGGTGGGGATGGTGGTTTGCCTGCGGCCGGGCTGTGGGAGCAGCGCTGGGCTCTGCTTCCTCCCCGCAGCTTTCAGCCTGGCGCTGGGGGGCTGCGGGAAAAACAAGGGAAAAATACTGAAATTAACATAAAAACAACCAATATAAAATATTAAAATTAATATTAAATCAACCAATATAAAATCAACCAATCTACCCCTCTTCTGCAGCACCGGTGGTTTGGGACGACCCCGGCCCTCCCTGGGCTCTGCCCCCTCATGGAAGGAAATTCCTCCTCGAGTTGTTTTATTTTATGGCTCATTTATTGTCCTGTCCCTGCCCGGGCCCCGCCGGGGGTTTATGGATTTGTGGGATCTCCCCTCAGCCTCCCCACACTGACCCGGCCCCGCTCCGGATCAGCCCCGGGGCTCACCGGAGGGACAGGCCTCGGTCACCGGGGGTTCCTCCCGGGGCTGCCCCGGCCCCGCCGCGCCCCTCCCGGGCCTCACCCGCTCCGGTCCCCGCTTCAGCTCCGCCGTGTCCAGCCACACCCCGCAGGGCTCGGCCGGGGCCGGGCCGCCCCCGCGCCGCCGCCTCATCCCGGGGCTCCCGGGCCCGGCCCCGGTGCTCCCGCTCCGCTCCCGTTCCTCGCTTCCGGTTCCGGTTCTTCCCCGTTCCGGATTTTCCCCGTTCCGGATTTTCCCGCTCCGCTCCCGTTACTTGGTTCCGGTTCCGGTTTTTCCCGGTTCCGGATTTTCCCGCTCCGCTCCCGTTCCTCCGTTCCGGTTCCGCTTTTTCCGGTTCCGGTTTATCCCGGTTCCGGATTTTCCCGCTCCGCTCCCGTTCCTCGGTTCCCGGTTCCGGTTCTTCCCCGTTCCGGTTTTTCCCCGTTCCGGTTTTTCCGGTTCCGGTTTTTCTCGGTTCCGGATTTTCTCGGTTCCGGATTTTCCCGCTCCGTTCCCGTTCCCCGGTTCCCGGTTCCGGTTTTTCCTGGTTCCGGATTTTCCCGCTCCGTTCCCGTTCCCCGGTTCCGGTTTTTCCCGGTTCCGGATTTTCCCGCTCCGTTCCCGTTCCGCGGTTCCCCGTTCCGGTTTTTCCCGGTCTCGGTTTCCCGCTCGCGCTGGCCCCGCCCTCAATACGCGCCACCAGCAGGGACGGACCAATGGGAGCAGAGGGGCGTGGCCGCCTGTGTAATGAGACCACGCCCACAAAGCCCTGCCCTATATAAGGGGCGGCGGCGGCGGGCCCCGCTCAGAGCAGCGGGAGCGCGGCCATAAGTCGGTCTGTTGTAGCAGTTCCGTGTTTCGCCCCGGATCCACAGCGGGATGTCCATCCCCGCCTGTTCCCAGCCCTGACCCGCTGCTGGGGCTTCCCATCGCACCAACCCCTCCTCTCCCTGCGCCTTCAGCGACAGAGCTGGGCCCATCCTGCTCCCGCGGCATCAAGGACATGGCCCTGCCACTGCAGGAGGGGCCTGAAGTGATATTAAATTATTTTGTTACCTTAGTGGTTTAAACAGCCTCACCTTGGTCTGTTCCCACGGTTTAGAGTCGAACAGGGGCCAGATGGCCTCTCCTTATCTGGTGCTGGGAGACCTGGCAGCCGAGAGCCCTCCCCAGCCCCTCAGGGCACACAGGACACTTTGTTCCAACTATTTATTCACATGTGAATTAAACCTGTGTACCATTCTATGAGCAAGCTGTAACTTAGGCTGGATTTAAAAAGCATTAAAAGCATCTCTTTCATTCCTACCGAAAGCACTTGCTGAGTAACAGTTCATGAAGCAGCAGTTGGAGGCTTGGGGCTGGATTTGGGTTGAGCTCAGTCCTTCTTTACTCTTCCTTGAGGCCCAGCTTGTTCTTCACCCTTTGGGCCATGTAGGTGGCTGTGAGGACAGAGCAGGTGACAGTGGCCAGGAACAGGGCAGAGAAGTCGTAAGCCAGGTCCTGCTGCAGGGAGGAGTAGATCTCCCTCCTGGACTCATAGTCCAGCACCACGGCCTCGATCTGCGCCAGCGTGCAGAGCACCAGGAACACGTGGAAGATCTGGTGGCTCTGCCCAAAGAAGTGGCACTTCCCAGGGAACCACTTCTCGGGGTAGGGATGGGAGAAGAAGAAGAAGGCCGCGACGAGGAAGAAGAGCACCAGATGTTGAGGGCCTCCTGGTGCTGCTCACGGTGATGGAGAGCTGGCTGAGCTTCCCCGGCACCGCCGTGGCCATGGCCAAACTCCTCTGGCAGGTCCTCGCTCTGCGAAATTTCCTTTTTGGGAAGGACAGGAAGTTTTGCTGTGAGGTTTAGGAGGGGTTTTAATATAATAACCAACGAGCAGGGAGTGTTGAAATGATCTGGTTGGGGATTTCCTCTGTGGAATCCCCAACAGCAGTGACAGAAAGGAGGCTGAAGGGACATTTAAGAACCCATGAGGTGCCTCTGCTGTGTGGGGAGCCCCGAGGACACAAGTCTGGGGTTAAATGACAATTATGAACCCACCAGGACACAGCAGTGCCTGGCTCAACCCCTTCCCTGTAGTTTGGGAACTGCTAAACAAGCCAAGCATCCCAAACAAACCTCCCACTCCAGATTCCCCTTCCTGTAAACTGTTTGCAGTGTCTGTCCTTACAAATACCAGCAAGTAACAGAGGCTGCAACTCCTGCATTTGGAGTTTTACCTCCTTTTTCCAGCTCCTGATTTTCCAAACAGCTTCCCACATCGTGGCCCTGTTGCACCACCAAAGTCCAGCAGCAGAATCTTTGTGAGCAGGAATCTCCATATTTACCTTTTGGAAGCTGCTGTCCTTACCCAGTGAGAGGCAGCCCTGCCAGCTCGTTTGGCCTTTTCAGAAAAACTTATTGAGATTCTTTACCTGCTCTTGCTCAGACAAGTCCTGAAGAAAACCTGATTCACGTCCAGCTCCAGTGCTGATCTGTGCCTCAACCCCGGGCAAGTGCCCTCGTTTCAGGGACAGGAAAACTCTAAAGTTTGGGATCAGGAGGAGGTGGGGATGGGACTGTTTGTTTTAAAAACCTCTGTAATTTCCTCATCAAAGTCAGGCTGTAACTCATTCCTGCCTGAATCCAAGGGGCACAGATGCAGAAAAAAAAAGCCCAAACAGGCTCTTTGCTGCTCCATTTCCCTCCCTTTGCCCCCCGGCTGGGGCAGCACCTGGCACCGGGCTGTGCCAACCCTGAACCCTCCCGGGAAGCTGCGACTTTCTGGGGCTGCCAGGGAAGAGTTCACCCTTTGAACTTCTGCTCTGAACCGCAACAGCCCCGAGCTGAACGAGCCCAGTTCAGCCTTTCTGACCTCCGAACAAACGCTGCCCGGAGAACTTGCCTCAGTGCCGGGGAGGGGGCTCAGCTCAGCTCGACCCCCTCCCAGAAGAGAAATTCCTGCGGGAAATTTCTGGCTCTGCTCGGGGAGAAGCCGTGTCAGGAAAGGGAGCGGTGTTTTCTTCAGCAGGATTAAATTCGCCGAGCTCTTCCTGGCCACCGAGCCTTGCAGTGCTTATGAAGGGAGCACATCCTGGAAATCCTCCATGGCCTCGTACTCCAAATAACACCCTGCACCTCCCCACGAGCTGTGGCAGCGCTGCCTCAGCCGCCCGGCCTTTCCTGCGCAGCGTTTCCTTTGCCCAGCAGCACCCAGCGCTCCCGCTGGATTTTTCTGGGATGATAAAGACTCGCCCCCGGCTGTTTCCATCCCTGTTTGCTGCCGCCACACAGCGGCACAGCCGCCCAAAGCCTCCCAAAGCACAGCCAAATTCATTTTCAAACCACCCGGCTCCGCTCAGCCCCCGAGTCCCCGCCGACCCCGGCCGGCCCGGGATGGTTCTCCCTCCCCTGGGATGAGCAGGGTGGGGATGAGCCGGGCTTTGGTTCCGTTACCGTCCCCGGGAGCTGCAGAACGGACCCAGCCGGGCTGAACGGACCCGGTCCGGTCCCGCCGCTTCCTCCGCCCGGCCGGGGGGCTCGGGGGTCGCGGCCCCGCAGCCCCTTGGAGCTGCTCCGAGCCGCTGCTCCTCTCTTCTCATCTTTCCCTCCCTCCCTCGGCAGCTGGAAGAAGCCTTTTTTTTATATATATATTTATTTTTTTATTATTATTACTATTTTTTTAATGAACCTGTTTCCAGCCCAGCTCTCCCCACAGGGACTCAGTTCTGGTTTCCTGCCCTGATCGTTCCCCTCCCGCAGGTCACTGCTGTCCTCTCCCTCTTCCCACCCCTCAGAATCCCCCCAGGAGCACTCCGAGCCCCCAGAGCCGCCTGAGCCCCGGCTCAGCTCGCAGATAGGGGCAGCAGAAGGGAGAGGAGGGAACAGAAGGCCCCGCGCCGAGCGCTGACAGCTCTGGCAAGCCTAAACCTCACATTTAGCATCCATTTGGGCTCCAGCACCATTCGGGGTTTGGCAGAGCTGCCATTCTCCTCGCCCACGTTTGGAGAGAGGAGAAAAATCCCCACGTAGCATTCGGGGCGCTCTTTCCTCAGCAGGTAAAACTACATTAAAATGAAGATCTGGGGGTTTTTGATTGCTGATTGCGCCTCATTTTGTACTCGGGAGCTGCTCCGGAGCTCCCTCCAGCCTCCATTACACCGTGCCAGGCGTTCAGCCTCTCTCCTGGGTGCAAGCTTTGGCTCAAAGTTCAGCCCTGGTTTGCTGTGCTCAGCCCATGGGGCAGACCCTGATCCCACACCTGAACAGACCCTGACCCCACACCTGAGCAGATCCTGACCCCCATTCCTGGGCAGACCCCAACCCCACTCCCGGTCACATCCTGACCAATTCTCCGGCAAAGCCTGACCACATCGCTGGGCAGACCCCAACCCCACATCTGAGATCCTGACCCTATTTTTGGACAGACCCATCTCTCCCCAGCAGAGAGCAGCACAGCCTCTCTGCACCTCGAGCATCCCAACCTGCTGGAATTCCCTCGCTCCCGGGCTGTGTCCCGCTGCTCCTCCGGGACACAGGAAAAGCTTCCCGAAGTGAGGCTCCAACACACCCCAGACCACAGTCCAGGACTCCGTGAGTCTCTTAAAAAACCATTTCTCTACGGATTTTCCATCTTCAGGTGCTCCGGATGCAGAGTTAAATTGAAAACAAACCTGGGAGCCAAGCCAGGATCAAGGCCAGACAGAGGAAGGATCAAGACCAGTGTCACCTCCACAGGGTGTTTTTGGGAGAGGTGCCTGCTCACACCCCCAGGGCAGCCCAGATACCTGTGGGTATCCCCAGGGGAAGGGTTTGGGGTTCAACACAGCGATTTTGTTCCCAATCCACCTAGAAGTCATCGTTCCTGAGCTCATCCCGCTTCCCCCAGCCAGAAGGAACAGGCAGATCAGGCTGTGGGCAGGTGCTGCTCTACCCCAGCACCCCTGGGCACAGCAGGACACAAACGATTCTGCTCCCCCAGAGCCTTTCCCCTCGGGGCAGCCCCAGCGGGGCCCCGCTGTCCCTCCCTGTGCCACACACATCCCCCCAGAGCCCCGGGCAACAAGGGCCGCTTGTTGGATGGCCCAGCAGCACGGGGAGGTGGCTCAGGGCCCCGGGACACAAAGAGCCCGCAGCTGGCCCGGGCTGAGGTGTCACACAAGGCTCCGATTGTCACAGGCACAGGACAAGGGCGGGCTCTGGTCCTGGCTCCTGAGGAAGGCAGGCAGATAACAGCACTGTGCAGCTTTATTGAGTCACTCGGTTACAGCAGTATTTTAGCAGACTGGACAGTCAGAGATTTTTGTTTGAAGTGTAACAGATATTCAGCATGGAACAGTTACTACAGATTCCTTGCACAAAGGTCTTACAGAGCTGATACAGTACTCGCCATCAACCCAGGAGCGAGTGCACTGGCGTAGAAAAGGATGCAACAAGAAGAAAAAGCTACACTGGAAAGACAACACTTTAGAAAAGTGACACATGGAAGGTCTCCCCTCTAGCCCCCAAAGCAAGTGTACAGTTTGGATCTAATTTTACAGCTCTACATCAGTTTCTAAGAAACGTAAAAAAAAAAAATATATATATAACCGAACCAAAAGCAAAGAGAAAACCACTGGCCAGTACAGTCTTTGGATATTTGGAGGAGGGGGAGAGTCAGTTTCCAGAACGGAGTCAGTCGGTCTCGGCCTCGCCGGGGTCTTTGCCCTCTTTGTTCTTTCTAACCTCTTCCACGTGCTTGTCCTGAAAAACAGCAGCAGGAGCGGTGAGCTCCAGGGAAAGGAGACCCTGGGAAGGGCTTCCCACCCAGGAGGGGCACAGGGGGCAGAGGCTGCTCAGCTCCAGCCAGCTGGAGTGCTGCAGAGCCTTTGGCACATCCCACAGCCAGACTGCCACCACAGCTCGGGGCAGCCCCCCTGGTGGGGAGGATTTTTGGGGGGGTTTTACCTCCTGTTCCCAGCAGGGAGCAGGGACAGCTCCCTCTGGCAGGGCTCCACACCCACCTTCTCCCGCAAGCGCTCCAGCTTGGCAGCCATTTGTGCCTCACGGTTCTCTTTGTTGGCTTCCATTTTGTGGGTCAGCTTCTCCTCTGCCATTTTGCTGAAGTTGTTGTTCTCCTCGATGGCTTTCTGCAGCACCTCCTTCTCGTGCTCCCGCTTCTCGGCCAGCTGCTTCAGCACTTCTGCCTCGTGGGACTGGCGGGACACGGGCCGGGGGGTGAGGGCACGGCGGGGAACCCCACGGGGGCTCCCCCACCCTCCCACAGAACCTGCACTTCACCACCACATCCACCTGCAAAGCTCAGCGTCTGTCACTGCCTGCAGGTCTTGTTAAATGGGATTTTTCTGGGGAGGGAACACTGATTGTTTTTGATGTTAACACTGTAAGAACTTTCCTTGAAGATCCTCCCTGCCCAGAGTGGTGAATCTCTGAGATTCAGGTCAGGCTCACTTCAATCAAAGCCTCGCCACCCTCAAGGGCTCCAGGCTGCGCCCCCAGCCACGTCTTTCATCACTCAGACAATTTATTCCCCAACTTCTCATTACAGACTCACTGCTGCATTTTCTGGGAGAAAATTCATCTGTTCTGGTGTTAAAAGACAAGAAAAACAGCTTCTTCCTGAAAGAGCTGCCCCTCTCAGCTTCATCCCTCCCAGTTTTTCTTCAGAATCTCTTTGGTACCAAAACCATGACCATAAAGCTTTGTAAGAGCCCCAGGGATTTCATTAATAATATTCAATTTACCATAAAAAAAACCACTCATCCCAAGAAACAAATAAAAAAAGAGCCCCAAACCCCCTCAAAAGTGGTGAAGCAGAGCTCACTTCAGCTGCTCCAGATTTACCTTGCGTCTCTCCTCTGCTGCTTCCAACTTCTTCTGGATCTCCTCCAGTGAGACATCCTTCTTCTTGGGGGGAGACAGAGGGAACTCTGCCACGGCTTCTTTGGAGCGGGGGCTGAGGATCAGCTCAAAGGCCTGCCCCGAGGCTCGCTTCTCCAGCTCCTTCACTTGGATGTCTGGGAACAGAGGGGAAAAAGCCACCAAAACGAGTATTTCATGCAGGAACTGGCTCAGGGGATGTTAAAAGCAGCCTTCCAAAATTCAGCACCACAAAGTTCCCTGAGGAAGGGCAGCCGAGACAGGAGGTTTGTTTTCAGAGCAGCAATACTGTTAAAAATGTGGAAATTTTTCCTTTGCCACCCTTCCTTGATCCTACATCACCCATGCACCTCATGTTCTAATTCAGCCCTCAACATCCCAAGTGGTGACAACAAATCAAAAAACATTCTCCCTCCAGTGACAAACCTAGGGATGAAATTCCAGGTGTTTGCCTGCAACCTGAGAGAGCAAAGAAGGAAAAAAAGCAATTTTTGGAGAAATCTGCAGGCAGGGCTCTCTCCCCCAGCCCTGCACGGTGTCAGCTGCAGCTGCGTGGTCCCCGAGATGTCTCGGTGACAGCCAGCTCTGCCGAGGGAGCAGATGGCTGCAGGGAGCTGCAGCCCATCTGCTGCCAGACTCCTCTTTTGGGCTGTTTTCACAACCACCCAGCTTCAACAGCCTCGCCCAAGATGGGAGAAAAGCTCGGTGACAGCAGCTTACTTCACTAGGTTTGGTTTTTAAGTTATTCCCAAGGAAATTAGGAGACAAAAAAAAAAAAGATAAGAGCATTTAGCACAGAATTCTACCTACCAGAAGTAGCCATGGCCAAGAAAATCAAAGTCCAGAAGCCAAGCCTGGGAGAAGGTCAGTCAGGTGGGTCCCTAGATAACAAAGAGATGTGCCTTTCAACAGCCAGAACAGGGATGCTGCTCCTTCCAATAAAAACTGCTAAACAGAATTATTGCTGCTGAACAAAAGGCAGACAAGGTAGGTCACTGCAGTCAGTGATTCCAGGCATTTCCTGGAGCTGATGGCCAGTGCTGGGAATACTGGAGAGGTTATGGAATTACTGGCGTTGCAAGATCAGTGTGATATTCGAGCATCTTCAATCTGTTTTATTCCACCTTCAGGTACTCGAACAAAGACCCCGTTTTACCACGGTGCTAGAGGGATCTCACTGCTCTCACACACGTAAAAGACCTCGCCGAATAAAAAAATGACGCACCACAGGACAGCACAGCCAGGATTCCTGCCACTCCCGAAGGATCTGAAATGTGCGCAACCGAGCTCATTTAAAATTCGGTTTTAATTGCGCAGCCCAAGTCAGATGCTTCACACCGCGGCAGACAAGCGAGGGCGTACACCGCCCAGGACGCCTCGCGAAAACGGGGCGCGGTAAAAAAAAAAAAAATCAGAAAAAGGTCTAGATAGAATTAAAATAGTTGGATGAATAGATAAATAAATAGATAAATCAATAAATAAGGGGGGTTTTAGGGGTTGGAGGAGCGCAGATCGCGGTCCGGGCGGGGCCGGGGCGCGGAGCGGGGACCGCGCGCTGCCGGCCCCGCCCCTC